GCCCGGCCCGCCCTCAGCCTGTTCCGGGGCGGTGGCGCCGTCAGACCGGAACTCCCCGCCCCCTCCCGGGGGCCGTTGGAGGCGGCTGTGAGGAGGTAGGGGGGGCCCCGTGGGGGGTCCCTCGAGGACCGGGACCCGGAAAGCGGGACGTTGGGGCGACCCACGAGTGGGGCCAGCCACTAAGCAGACCCACGTCTTCTGTGCCAGGCACTGAACTGGGCTCTTGACGGGCATCACCTCTTAATCCTCAGAGCATCCCAGGGAGGTAGGTGCTGTTGGAACCCCGTTTTACAGTCTCAGACTTCCCGTGCAGAAACAGCGCGGGCTCTGTCCCCATTCTGCAGACGGGAGGACTGAGGCCCAGGTAGGGGAAACCTATTCAGAAGCTCATGCCAGGGAAGGGCAAAGCCTGGGCTTGGACCCAGATACGCTTGGTTTACCTGGGCACAGGTGGACAAGGGTGAGGACAGAGTACTAGACCACATTAACCGGTGAGGCCGCGTGCTGAGAGTCAGGGCTTCCCTGGGAGAGGAATGGAAGTGCGGGGAAGAAGGGCCAGCGTGGGCAGGCCAGCGTGCGGATGCACACTCGAGGCCACTGGATGGATCGCGCCTGGCCCGTCCTGAGCGAGCCTGCTTCCCTCTCTGTAGAGTGGGCCCCAGCGTGGCTGCGTTGGGGTCGGGTGAGGAATTCAGTGGGAAGCTGGTAAGTTGCCTGCGCCTGCCAGCACAGGTAGGCGCTCTGCGAGCAGTCCCCGCCCGTGCCAGCCGCCCGCAGGGGGCCGAAGCCTGGCCTTCTGGAAGCTGTGCCAGGCTGGAGGAGCGCGGGTTTGCCGCTGCCACTTGTGTCCCATCATCGGCCCTCTGCTCTCCAGCTCCGGTCCCGCCTCCTGGGCCATGAGTGAGCTGAAGGACTGCCCCCTGCAGTTCCACGACTTCAAGTCTGTGGACCACCTGAAGGTCTGTCCCCGCTACACGGCGGTGCTGGCCCGCTCCGAGGATGACGGCATCGGCATCGAGGAGCTGGACACTCTGCAGCTGGAGCTTGAGACCCTGCTTTCCTCCGCCAGCCGGCGCCTGCGGGTGCTTGAGGCCGAAACCCAGGTGATTCCCCACGCAGGGGCTGTCACCAGAGATGGGCCACGACCCTTCGGGGGTGTGTCACGGAGTGACCCCATCTGCTGAAGCCGGGGGCACAGGAACTTGGGGTGGGGGGTGGAGAAGAGGGACCCGCGAGGGCTCACGGGACACGTGAAGTAGGCAGGAACGTGCGCGAGCCTCGTCAACTCAGACTTCTGACCACGGACCAGATCAGACCTCCACCCTGCTCCCCGTTAGTTCTGGGTTCTGTGGTGGTCACTGGGTCCTGGTGATTAGGGAGGAAGGTCACCGCCGGGAGGGGCGCTGGGTTGGACCAGTACAGGCGATGCACTACGTCACGAGCTGTGGATTTGAATTCTGGCCTCGGCCTTGCTAGTGTGCCCCAGCTCTGTGACCTTGAACACCAGTGCCCCGGACATCAGTTCTGTCTGTGAAGTGGGCTCAGTAACAGTAGCTACCTCCGCGCTTCTGCGAGGATTGAGAGGGTTTTTTTCTGTGCGTTACATGAACATGTTCACTACGCTGAGCCCTGAATACCCAGTGCTGTGCCAGGTCGAGGGAACAGAGGCGGTTAAGGAGTCTCGCAGTCTCCTGTAGCGAGCTTCCAGGTGAAGGGGAAAGGAGTGCTCTTCTTCCCGTCACCGAACAGCAGGTCGGGCTGGTGGTGGCGGGTCAGTGCCGCCACTGCCAACCCAGCTGCGCCTCAGGGGAACAGAATTACCTTGCA